GCAGCCACCTGCCCTCACTGCAGCCGCCTGCTCTCACTGCAGCCGCCTGCCCTCACTGCTCTCACTGCCTGCCGCCTGCCACTCACTGCCGCCTGCCCTCACTGCAGCCGCCTCACTGCATCCGCCTACGCTCACTGCAGCCACCTGCTCTCACTGCAGCCGCCTGCCCTCACTGCTCTCACTGCAGCCGCCTCACTGCAGCCGCCTACGCTCACTGCAGCCGCCTGCTCTCACTGCCTGCCGCCTGCCACTCACTGCCGCCTGCTCTCACTGCAGCCGCCTGCCACTCACTGCAGCCACCTGCTCTCACTGCAGCCGCCTGCCCTCACTGCAGCCGCCTGCCCTCACTGCAGTCGCCTGCCCTCACTGCTCTCACTGCAGCCGCCTCACTGCAGCCGCCTACGCTCACTGCAGCCGCCTGCTCTCACTGCCTGCCGCCTGCCACTCACTGCCGCCTGCTCTCACTGCAGCCGCCTGCCACTCACTGCAGCCACCTGCCCTCACTGCAGCCGCCTGCTCTCACTGCAGCCGCCTGCCCTCACTGCTCTCACTGCCTGCCGCCTGCCACTCACTGCCGCCTGCTCTCACTGCAGCCGCCTGCCACTCACTGCAGCCACCTGCCCTCACTGCAGCCGCCTGCTCTCACTGCAGCCGCCTGCCCTCACTGCAGCCGCCTGCTCTCACTGCAGCCACCTGCCCTCACTGCAGCCGCCTGCTCTCACTGCAGCCGCCTGCCCTCACTGCAGCCGCCGTGAACCCCTTTTGCCGGTCGCGCACATCCGCCATGTTTGTAGTCTATGCTTTGGGACACACTTATTCTAATCTCACATACTGTTTAGGATGGATAGTATGAACATTGAGACGCAGGGCAAGTCTGGGTATTTGGACAAGGCAGCTCTCACTGCAGCCGCCTGCCCTCACTGCAGTCGCCTGCCCTCACTGCTCTCACTGCAGCCGCCTCACTGCAGCCGCCTACGCTCACTGCAGCCGCCTACGCTCACTGCAGCCGCCTGCCCTCACTGCTCTCACTGCCTGCCGCCTGCCACTCACTGCCGCCTGCTCTCACTGCAGCCGCCTGCCCTCACTGCAGCCGCCTGCCCTCACTGCATTCAAATCTCACATACTGTTTAGGTTGGATAGTATGAACATTGAGACGCAGGGCAAGTCTGGGTATTTGGACAAGGCATTCCTCTGAGTCCGCACTTTCGTGACGTAATGCCGCTTTGACTGTCGGGTAGAAGTCTGCAGTGTGGGCTCGGCAGAAGTGCAGATCGAGGGCACCCTTCTGAACGCTATGGGACACCCTACGGTCTCGTGGACTTAACGGACACATGCACGCAAGACCGAAAGTGCACATGAAGTGTTCCATTTGGGACAGGGCCGATGATGCCCTTTACCTGACCCCACCCCTAAACTGTGATGTGAGCCAATCAGGTGACATGGTCGAGAACGCCTCTTTCACTGATCTGGTGACTCCCATTACTTTCCAGAGCAAGCAGGGGTGTATTCCAGAAAGGAGGTTCAACAAACTCTGAGTTAAAACTTGAGCTCTGAGTTGACTTACCCTGAGATGGGAAACTCTGAGTTTCAAACAAAACCCGCTTTCTGGAATACACCCCAGGTGACTTTCATGCTCAGTCAACACTAACAGGTGTAGTGTGTAAAACCAGGTATGTGGTGAATTAACATCAAAAACTGAAGGCTGCAGTAAAACCCCACAGGACTGTTCTATAGCAGAGGCACGACTCTCTGGAGGACTTCAGGTTTTACTTCCAACCCTCATCAGATACCTGCTTGTGATTTTCAAGCAGTCCTGAAGACTTGGATTACATTGTTCAGATGTATATCATTAGGGTTGAAACTAAACTTACTAAAAGTCCCTGTAAGAGCAGAGAGGAGAAACAAAAAAGTGAAAGAATATATCAAAACCCATTGTTTGTTTTGGTTTATTAGCTATTAATTGTCCATAGTTAATTGTAAATTAAAGTATACATTATATTTATGCTTATAGATGCTTTTATCTAAAGTGCAGGGATTGATTGTGAACGATCAGAATTTAACCAGAATCAGATTGATCTCAAAGTAAAAAAGGTGCTTAAGTCTGATTTTGTAGTGGCTGTGCTTTAAAATTAAATGATTATAATCTTAATTCAAGTGATGCAGGCTTTAGAAAGTCTGCCAGTAATCAGTGTTGAGTTCCACTGGAAGGTTAACCCTGCCTGCTTTACATGTTTCAAAATGATTAACAGTAGAAAATATTTCAGTTACATTACTTTAATAAAGTAATTGAAATAGTTACACTACTTATTACATTTTAAATAGGGTAACCTGTAAACTGTAACCTATTACATTTACAAAGTAACCTTCCCAGCACTGCCTAACAGTAACCGTCAGAACATTTTCTGGAAGTCAATGGTGAAAAAAGTGTCAAAGATTTTCTCCCAAAGTCTCCCAATTTTTCATGCCACAGCAAAAATCTATCGTTGTATAACATCCCCATGAACTCCTGATGGCCATATATTGGTCACACTGTAGTTAAGCAGTTATAAAACAAAAAAGATTTATGTTTTTTTTTTTTTTTTCAAACTTATTCAAAATATTTTTGTATATATTTACACAAACATGATGTAAAATTCACATTAAAGAAGATCTGCATATTTATTTATATATTTATTCATTAAGCAGAAGATTACTGCTACCTAGTTGAAAACAAACACTTATAAAATGAACATGACATGACATTACCACTATGACCAGTAGATGGCTGCAGAGGATCACTGATTCATGTATTCACTTGCCGTTTCCACTCCCTTATGTATAGTTAATCAAAGGGTGAGCGATTTATGTAGTTACTTGATAATAATATTTTGAGCTCATTTAAAATTCTAAACAACAAAATCAAAATATAAACAAAGAAGGTTTTTTGTTGATTTATAAACTTTTATTAAAGAAATGTGTAAAATGTTGCTCATCAGAATCATGGGTTCGATCGAAAAATGTAGGCCTGTATGTTAAATGCAGTGCAGTTTTCTCTGGATAAAAGTAGCCTATGTAAACGTAAGAGCCCTTGAGCAGATCAGATAAGACCAAATGAATGAATGAATGAATGAATAGTAGGCTAATAATAATAATAATAATAATAATAATAATAATAATAATAATAATAATAATAATAATAATAATAATAATGATGATGATAATAACCAAAAAAAAAATGAATGTGTTATTTTCTTTCCTTTAAGTAAGTGTGCATTAAACGATTCAAAGGTTATCAGAATTAAAAGTTAAATCTGTCATTTCAGCTTTTTGAAGTATGAATAGAGCTGCGCCATTACAGCTTGTACCTGTAAATAAATCAATAAATCCTGCAGCAGCCTCAGAGGAGACAAGCAGGATTAAAAAACCTTCTTTGTTTATATTTTGATTATTTATAAACTTTTATTAAAGAAATGTGTAAAATGTTGCTCATCAGAATCATGGGTTCGATCGAAAAATGTAGGCCTGTATGTTAAATGCAGTGCAGTTTTCTCTGGATAAAAGTAGCCTATGTAGAGCACTTGAGCAGATAAGACCAAATGAATGAATGAATAGTAGGCTAATAATTATAATAATAATGATGATGATAATAACAAAAAAAAAAATGAATGTGTTATTTTCACACATTTCACACACATTAAGGTTATCAGAATCAAAAGTTAAATCTGTCATTGCAGCTTTTTGAAGTATGAATTTTGTTTGGAAGGATGAAATGATAGTAGGCTACATTTTCGTCAGTTATTTTATCAGTTATTAAATCAGATACATAGAAGCACAGTAAAATTACATTTATCTGAATGCATTTGTGAGAGAGCGATTACGTGTAAATTAGTCCTGCCTGTCTGTGCAACGTCTCTACTAATAGTGAAGCTGTGGATTTTGATTACTTCAAAACACAGAGAAATTTTCGCTATAACTTTTCTGTTTCTAAGCATTTTTATTGACAAATCACAGGGCAGCGTTGACAATATTTTTTGTTTCTGTGTGTGAGTGATCCGTTATGTGTCTGTACATGTGTGCGTGCAGTACAATCCTTGTAGGCAGAACTAGTTTAGAACGGCTATAGTTATGGCATTAATTGTGCTAGTGATTGAGCGGTAGTGGAGCACTCTGAGAGCGAGCGAAAACCAGAATTCTCCGACTTTCAAAAGATCCCCGCTTCAGTTAAAATCACGCTGCTCCGCTCTCAGTGCACTTCGATCCCATACGCTGCTGTGGGGTGGCAAAGCTCATTTTAAGGGTGGAAGTTGCCACCCCGTGCCACCCTTGTGGACACGCCACTGATTGTGTTCAGCTATGTTTCCATCCACCTATTTTTATGCACATTTTGGAATATCGCATAAAAAACGCTGGATGGAAACGTCAAGATGGGCATAAATTCTAAAAATGCGCATAAAAAACTTATGCGCACATTAGTAGGATACACTTTTTATCCAATAAGAAAAAATGCGCATGAAACACATTTACCGAATAAATTCCTCCATGCGCATCGACAGTCATGTGAGTTTGCGCTGAGACGGAATAACCTGATCTCGTTCACAGCGTCTATATGTTGTTCTGAAAAGCCTGAGCAAAGTCTGTCAAAGTATTTCTGTATAATTACTGTCTCACACGACTGTGTTCCCAAAACAGCTGGAAACCGTGTGTGTTGTGTGTCTGCTCGCTTTGAGGCGCTAGTCATTTATCATATATGAGAATTATTATATTCAGTGGCTTCTCCTAGTTTTCTCAGTGATATTTAGTGCCAGTTTACCAGGAAGTGATGATTTTGTTCTCTTTGACTCGTTGGATGGAAACAGTGCTTTATTCGCAAATGTTTTATGCGATATTCCAGTTTTGCGCATAAGTTAAATTCGAATCTTTGGATGGAAACATAGTGTGTAGGTTTCCTTGGAATTTACAGCCTTATGTCGAACTACACTAAAATTCCCTTATGAGGCTCTATATGCTTCCAGATTGCCGCTAATCAGCTGCTGTAGTTTCTAATATGCATGTGTTTCAGGTGATTATTCAGATGTGGGCACGAACAGCGCATGCGCGTCTGTTTGACAGGAACACATGCGGCATATTCAGCGCTTAGAGCTGAAGAGAGGAGCAACTCCAGGAGGTTTTGCGTGCACACAGAGCTGGAGTGGTTTGGTCAGCATGGGCTGCTCATCGTCCAGCACACAGACGCTCGCGCAGGAGAACCCACCGCGCGTCAAAGCGGAGGAGGCGAGCGGAGAAACTCTGCGTAAGTCATTTCAGAAACATCGCTATTAAACTAAAGCAGTTTGGTAAAAGCTTGGCCTGATGATATTACCAAACCCGTGCATGAATTACTGACAGTGCCAAAAACAAAATAATCATTTTTTATTAATCCTAACACATTTAGTCAGAGATGACATCTTTTCATTAATATTTATGGGCGATCTTTAATTATTGCAACTGATATCCTGCATGTGCAAGGTTATGTTTGTGTCTGTCCAGCTGTTGTGAGTGAGTTTGTGCTGTGGGGTCCCTGAACAGATGATGGATATGAGGACAGACAGCTCAAACCCGGGTTAGGACACATGCAGCCCCAGGCTCTGATCTGACCAGTCCGCTGTGTTTCCAGATCACTCACATCGGTGCTTCCATTCAGCTCAGAGAGACTCGCTCGTGAGATGTAGTGCTTGCTGTACACTTTATCTGAACACTGTCTGCATCATGATGGCATTTCCAGCGGTTTACCGCATGTTTCTATGGGCTGTTTTCTCGTTTCTCTCATAGGTTTGTGTCGTTGTGCAAAATTCACACTCTATAAAAATTGACACAAAGTCTCACACGGAGGAATACTGTCCATTCATTTGAGAAAACAGCTGAGACGATCACAGAATTCATTTCACATGTTCTGAGAGTAAACCTCCACACCAGATCCAGCTCTGGGTTTCAGGAGCAGCACAACTCAGAAAACTCCAGCGTGATGCAAACACACACCTCAGGCTCTGACACTGAAGATGGACGGTGTGTGTGTGTGTGTGTGTGTGTGTGTGAGAGAGAGAGAGAGATCCTCATGTTTGAGTTCAGGAACACTGCTTGGCTCGTGATTAGATGTATGGTTTTGGAGGAGAGGGTTTGGGTTTAGTGTAGGCATTAAGCAAGACAAGAAGGTTCATTTAGCATGGATTAAAATGCATCATGAGGGAAAACAAGAATGAAGAGCATCAAATAATACAGCACCTGTTGAGAGAGATTTGATGGACTAGCGATGAACGCAGTCGGACTGATGATGTTGAATGCTGCATGTTTTTGTGTTTGAGCGTCTCCGGAGGCTCTGCTGCTGATGATAAAGTCTCCACACGGACAGAGAGGGGCATATTGTTGAGTGTGAGTCTGTTCACTGTTTGCTCTGGAGGCTGTTTCTCCTCCGCGCCGCTGACCATCAGGAAATTACTTTTTCATCGCAGCATTTGAGGAAATGAGCTCTGAGTCTGAACAGAGCAAAACCTCCAGGCGTGTGTGCAGGAGTGTGCTTTGTGAGTGTGTGTGTGTGTGTAATTTGACACGCATTGTTCCATCAGTCTCCACACGGACAGAGAGGGGCATATTGTTGAGTGTGAGTCTGTTCACTGTTTGCTCTGGAGGCTGTTTCTCCTCCGCGCCGCTGACCATCAGGAAATTACTTTTTCATCGCAGCATTTGAGGAAATGAGCTCTGAGTCTGAACAGAGCAAAACCTCCAGGCGTGTGTGCAGGAGTGTGTGTGTGAGTGTGTGTGTGTAATTTGACACGCATTGTTCCATCACACACACACACACAATATAAAACCCGGTTTATAAACTGAATGACTGAAATTGCTTGAGTTTTTGTAGATGGAGATGGTTTCCTCATGCAGCTTTCAGTTCTCACACAGCTGAGTGGAGAATGATTGCATGGACTGGACTCTGCAGGAGGATCTTCTCTCTCTGTCAGCCTAGAATCAGTCTGCCTCAGATCGCTGGTTCTGGCTCAGTGCCGAGTTTCAAACCTGATCCACCAGTCTAGAATCAAAATCTCAATATCGCTCTGTAATATAATGATTTATTGGAAATGATTTGCGTTTCCAGAGTTAGGAATGGCGTTCTGGTATTCAGTATGCAAATAAGACGGTGATGTCATCGCTGTTGGTTAGATTGTGAATGCTGTTATAAGTGTGACTTTCAAACTCCACGTTTATAAAAGATTATAAAAAAACAAATAGAAAGCACATACCTAAGAAGTAATTTTGTCCTGAAATGACCTGAATGAAATATGTGTGATGTACATGAAGCATTTAAAGTGTGAAGAAGAATAGGAAACAGTAGATGCTCAGTATGCTGCTATGTTTCTGCTGGTTTCCATGAGAGCATCTTCCCTGATGCTTCATTAGTGTTTGTGGAAAGATAAATATTAACCATTTCAGTGAGGCAGGAATGTGTGTTTTTAATTATTTACTCATTGCTATAGTACGTGTTTCTGAGTTCAGCTAAAGCGCTACCGATCATTAAACATGTCAGCACTTGCTGATTTGTGTGTGTGAGTGTGTCTGTGTCTCTCTCTCTGTGTGTGTGTGTGTGTGTGTGTCTGTGTCTCTCTCTGTGTGTGTCTGTGTGAGTGTGAGTGTGTGTGTGTGTGTGTCTGTGTCTCTCTCTGTGTGTGTCTGTGTGAGTGTGAGTGTGTGTGTGTGTGAGTGTGAGTGAGTGAGTGTGTGTGTGTGTGTGTCTGTGTCTCTCTCTGTGTGTGTCTGTGTGAGTGTGAGTGTGTGTGTGTGTGAGTGTGAGTGAGTGAGTGTGTGTGTGTGTGTGTGTGTGTGAGTGTGTGTGTGTTGTGTGTGTGTGTGTGTGTAGATGGTGAATTACACACAGCTGCACTTCTGCTTGACATAAACTCATGTCGTGACCAGAATGCTAAAAAATCCTCCAATCAAACTGAAACATTTTTCAAGGGAAAAAAAATATCTGGGATGTGCTTAGCATTTTGCTGTACAGACTACAAACAATGGATTTAACTCTGATATGATTTTTGCTGCCTGTATGAAGAAAAGCACGTCTATAGTTACTCAGGGGTTTGATGAAAAAATGAATAATTTGGTTAAGAAGCATCTTCAGCTTATGGCCTGAGCTTATTTCTTTTAAGATACTGCTTTAGGCACAATTTACAGAGTAGGTCAAGGAGACGGAGAACTCTTTAGCTTATTTATGTTGAGAAACCAAAATAAATAATTTATTCTGATGACAGACAGTTATGTTTGCATGTGTAATGCATGTAAATAAACTTTATTTCCTCTCTGCTTGTGTTTTTTGCCAGTCTCTCGTAATGGGCTTGTAGCAGAAGACAGCGAGACCGTCTCGGATCAGATGCAGCTGCCAGTTCAAAGCACTCTGCCGGATGAGCTGGGTCCCGGACCGGACGAGACGGTGGAGGCCTCAGAAGCAGAGCAGACAGCGGTCAGCGCTAGTGATGCTCCTCTAGAGGAGAGAGATGCAGCTGATGTTCCCGCTGCTTCAGAACCCACTGACTCCACGCCTGCAGAACCCTCTCTAGCTGTGGAACCTGCGTCAGATCTCACCAGCACTCCAGAACCCAAGCCAGCTGAGCTAACAGCAGCTCCAGAGGCCCCATCAGACACGAGCTCGGAGCCCACACTGGAGCAAGCAGACACAGCTCCTGAAGCTCAAGAACCAGGTCCAGTGGAGCGAAGCCCTGCTCCAGAACTCACTGTGTCTGAGCCTATCCCGAGTGCAGAACCAGCTCCTGCTGAGGAATCGACTGTGTCTCCAGAACCAGCTGCAGTGGAACCAAGCCCAGCTCTAGAATCAGCTCCGGCTCCAGAACCCTCGGCTGAGGAACCAAGTTCAGCTCCAGAACCAGCTGCAGTGGAACCGAGCCCAGCTCCAGAATCAGCTCTGGCTCCAGAACCCTCGGCTGAGGAACCGAGTGTGTCTCCAGAACCAGCTGCAGTGGAACCGAGCCCAGCTCCAGAATCAGCTCCGGCTCCAGAACCCTCGGCTGAGGAACCGAGTTCAGCTCCAGAACCCTCAGCTGAGGAACCGAGTTCAGCTCCAGAACCAGCTGCAGTGGAACCGAGCCCAGCTCCAGAATCAGCTCTGGCTCCAGAACCCTCGGCTGAGGAACCAAGTTCAGCTCCAGAACCCTCGGCTGAGGAACCGACTGTGTCTCCAGAACCAGCTGCAGTGGAACCGAGCCCAGCTCCAGAATCAGCTCCGGCTCCAGAGCCCACGGTTGAGGAACCAAGCCCAGCTCCAGAACCCTCGGCGGAGGCAGCAGCGATCACACAGTCTGCAGAGGAGAACGCGACCTGCGCAGACGCTCCAGAGGGTAACGCATGGGAACATGGGCAGATCAGCTCTAGAAATCCAGAAATGAGCACTGATTACATCTGCAGCAACAACAATCTCGGTTTTAAATGATGTTTCTGATCACTTTAGATCAAAGCCTCAGATTACAGGATGCTTGAGCAGTAAAATAAAGCTCTGGTCACTACACATACTGTAGTAAGGCAGTGCATAACCAGTGCTGGGTAACAGAACAGAGATTGTTGAGTAGAGTTCACTGCAGTCTAGACAAAGACAAAGTCTAGACACAGAACATGTCACCGTTTTCTTCACATCTGCACTGTGCACAACAGCCTCTTGCTGACGCTTCGTCGCTCTTTGTGTCGTGCCAAAAGCCAGAATAATCTTGTGCTCTGTTGCCTCAGATTATGTCAGATGAGCGCTTCGCATGTCCTGCGATGACGGCAGCGGTTCGTGACACACGGCGCTGGGCCATGCCACAGTACTGCTTAATACAAGCTGTAATGATAATCAGTATTGATACTTCTATTCTGATACAACCATTTATTTAAAATATGAGCAAATGAACGAATGTGCAGGCATGTGTGAGAGTGAGACTCTGAATTCAATGTGCTTTTCTCAGATTTATTCAGCATCAGCATTTTAACGCTCGCACACATCCTGACAAACACGACATGTAGGACAACTAACCTAGTGCAGCTAAAGCTCTCAGACCAAGCGTCTCTGTGAAACACCAGGTATGGTCAGTGTAGCAGGTTTATTTACAGAGATGGACGGGCGAATGTCACCGACTTCTTAAAGATCTTACTGAAGATCTGAAGATTATTGACCATTCAGAACACATGTAGTGTCCCAGAGATGCAGTATGGTGCATATTTATATTCCAGTTTATGAGAATATAATATAAAATAAAGGCAAACAAGTATAAAACAGCAAAGCATGCCATGATCTGAATGGTTTCTGCAGCTCATGTGCTGATGAATCCACAGACGAATGCTGTGCTGTTCACAGACAGCAGGGGTCAGAGGTCAAACCCTCAAACTACACTGCAGCCAATGATTTCTGCTAAAAATATCTGGAGATGAATGAGAAAATACATCTCTTGTGTGAATCATGAGCATATGTAAAGTCATTAATATGGTATAGAAGCGGTTTTCTTATTACAGAAGGGAGTTTTGTGGCTCTCATTTGTATATCATGATACTGTTTTGTTTGAATGAAATAAACACAAGCTTTCATGATAACCTTTGTTTTTGTTTTTCCGTAGTCGGTGAAGATGGAGCTGATCTGCTGAAATCCACAGAACCTGAAGATTGATGTCAGTGTGACGCTGTGAGACATGCCTTTTATCTCAGAGACGTGAGGGTTTGTACATAAATGAGTGTTTCTAAGTAGCGTTAGCATCATTAGCATTGTTGTTAAAAGCCACAGAAATGCCTCTGAGAGCGCGGGTCCCGTGGGTGTCCGGCCGAGCGTGGGACGAAATCACAGCATCATGTCCTCATCTCCAACTGAGTCAAACACAACAGCAATATTAACTCACCTGAACAAACATGAGCCAAAGCTCTAATAACTGTGAATCAACCAAATTATGCTTAGTAATGTGTCTTTTAATGAGACAGAAGGGCTTCGTCTCATGTATTTAGTGCATGTTGCTCCTCAGACTGCAGATGCAAAGCAGTTTGACTCTTTACTGTCATTAATCAAAGACAGACAGGCAAACGGTAGTATATTAATCAGTAGTGTATGTTGTTGGGTTATTTTAGTACAGTTTGTGGTGATTCCAGAGCACTAATAAACCTCATCTGATGATCTGTGACACTGGAAGGAAAGCAGTTACTCAGCGAATCAACTCAGTGTGAAGACATGAAAGTTCAGCTCTTTGTAAAAAACAAACCAAGCTTTTAATGAACTGACATGATCTCTGCACATCTCCTGTATGTCTTTTTTACATTTATATGTGCACAGAATAGATACAGTTACCGTTACTAATAAAATAATTTTGTAGTGATTTCTCTTTTATAATCAGCGTGTGGTTGTCTGGGGTCTTAAATACTGGAGAACATTGCAGCTGATCTCACAGTAAAACCAGTGAGAGCCACACAGAACTTAGTCGACTACATACACACATACACACACTCCTAGAGGCAATGTAGTTTCTGCAGTTCATCCGTGCTGCATGTGTTTGGATTTTAAAGGAATCTGCTGCATCTGGAGGAAACAACTAAATTATAATGCTGGCAAATCCCAATAGGCCTAGAATTAAAATACATAGTAAAGAATTAAAATAGTAGGTAAATATTTAATTATAGTAAGTTATTACATACATTTACACTTCTGCTCATTAAACTGTAACTAGAGGGGAAAATGCTCAGATATAGTGCGATATATTGCAGACTCAGTCCATCACGCACAAATGCTTGCATATAAGTTAAAAAACAAATAAGTATAATTATTATAATAGCCTCTTGATTATTAAGAATGGCTGTCTTAATTAAAAAAGAGAAACGCTGTAATGACATAGCCTTCTGCTGGAGGTTTTCATAGTGTAAGATGCATTTCTCAAGTCCAGCAAAGATTTCAAAGAAACTGCTGTAAAATTCCTCTATACCTTAATTTGTCTCTCATATTAAGTGTTTATTTTTATTCATTTTGCATAATGTATATGATTTCAACAACCGATTAGTGATTAGTTAGTGCGTTCTGAAGAACTACATTTCCCATCATCCTTTAAACCGGAAATCAGCGCAGGTTGAGCACGTGTGCTGTCAGCGAGAGCGTGAGCCGCAGGAAACTTTCGCACAAAGTGTTGAGAGCAAATTAAACCGACCAGCTTCATTTAACCGATTAACTGAGTTTCGAGGCGAGTGTTGTTTCGTTGGATCGATCAGGGAGCAGAATGAAATAGAAGCAAACATCTGCGGTGAAATCACTGTCACGACAAAAACATCACGGGTCTATAGGCAGAAGACAGTAGTGATGGGAAACTGAGGCTTCATGAAATTGTGCCGGAAAACGGTTCATTCCTCGAAGCTTTTAACACAGTGTGCATTAGCGACATCTGCTGGTCGGACTTTGTTTTCTCCACCATTTCTGACAAATCATCGCGGAGCATAGGACGGTTTGAAAAAGCATGTGACCAAAAGCTTCGGAAGTCTGTGACATTCAAGAGTGGAATCAATCTGGGATCAATACAATATCTAATCTGATATAATCTCATCTAAATTAATTTGTGCCAATGAGACCACAACTCGTGTCATGTATAGCTTGGTCAACGGATGCACATATCGATCAATAATATAAAATACACAAACGTGATCATAATTAATAACTGACGTGGGTTGCTGAAAAAAAATATTTTGTATAACGTTACCCTTATGTTGTGTTCGGGATCTCTGAGACCCCAGTTATAAACATGATTAAATGTCCTACTGACAGCCCTCAAAGTGACTGAATAATGCTTTTATGCATCAGGTGGGACCGTGAAGCGCCAGTTTTTTCAGACCAGCTGTCCCGATCTTCTGATACTGCATGAGGTTCGAGCTTCAAACGTCATCAGTCACGTGGTGTTGTCATTTCGATACAAGCATCAGCAGTGTGTGATACAATAGTGCTTTGAAAACTGCGTCGGAGCCTCGGTATCATCCGTCCCATCACTAGAAAACAGCAACGATTTAAGGTAAACAGTATGATTTCACTCCCAGTTCCTCATTTCATTTGTGGTCATGTTAATAGATGTTAATGACAGGTTTACCTTTTTTTACCTTTTTGAATGAAGTCTGATTTTACTACATTCATGTTGTGTGAAGATTGTGACGACAGCACTCTTTATACTTGACACTGATTTAAATCAAACCTTTATCCAAAGTGACTGTAAAATAAGGAAGAATACAGTATTAGCATACAGTACACTAGCACACAGTACACTAGCACACAGTACACTAGCACACAGTACACTAGCATACAGTACGCTAGCACACTAGCACACAGTACACTAGCACACAGTACACTAGCACACAGTACACTAATACTGCACTAGCACACAGTACACTAGCACACAGTACACTAGCACACAGTACACTAGCACACAGTACACTAGCATACAGTACACTAGCATACAATACACTAGCACACAGTACACTAGCACACAGTACACTAGCACACAGTACGCTAGCACACTAGCACACAGTACACTAGCACACAGTACACTAGCAGAGGGGTTTTCAACCTGTGGGGCACCCAGGGGGGCGCCAGCACCTGTCAAGGGGGGCGCGAGCATCAGTTAATTCAGAGACATTCTCTTGAGAATTTATGAATATGAGTTAACAAATCTTTAGCCATCCACTAGGGGGCA